AAATCTCAATTACAGGGTGAAAAAAAAAAAAAAACTGCTCAAAAAATTAAAGAAAGGGAACACTAAAATAACACATCCTAGACCTAAATTAATTAAATATTCTGACTGAAAAACTTTATTATTAGCACAGTGGAATTGATTGAGAATAAAATAACACACAAATTATCAATGTAAATCAAATTATTACACCATGGAGATCTGGATTTGGATTCATACTCAATATGAAAGTGGAAAATAACATGAAAGGCTGATTCAACGTCAGTGAATATTACTCAAGGCAAGTCTAAATGAAGCTCAGTAGTGTGTGTGGCCTCCACGTGCCTGTAGAACCTCCCAACAGCACCTGGGCATGCTCCTGATGAGATGGCGGATGTTCTCCCGAGGGATCTCTTCCCAGACCTGGATTAGAGCATCAGTTATCTCCTGAACAGTCTATGGTGCAATGCGGCCTTGGTGGATTGACTGAAACATGATGTCCCAGATGTGCTCAATTGGATTCAGGTCTGGGGAACGGGCAGGCCAGTCCATAACATCAATGCCCTCATCATCATCAAAACCAAACCATATCATGTTGCTGCTGATCTGTTTCATGTTGCTGCTGATCTGTTTCAATGTTGATGTGTTCATGCGTGCACATCTGCTCACATACTCATGTTCATGTTTGTGCTGATGTTCAATGTTTTATGTTATGAGTGCTTAGTGTATATTTAGTTGATGTTTTTCTTAGTTCATATCTTAGATGTTATTACTGTTTTTCTTATACATTTTATTGTTGGATGTAACTGGGACCCCGTGTACATAATTTCGCTCCACCACATGTACCACATGAGGTGCGAATGACAATAAAGAAACTCTGACTCTGACTCTGATCATGCAGGAACTGCTGACACACTTCAGCCACATGAGGCCATTGTCATGCATAAGAAGGAACCCAGGGCCCACTGCACCAGCATATGGTCTTACAATGGGTCTGATGATCTCATCCCGGTACCTTAGCCGGTACCCGGTACCGGCTAGCACATGGAGGGCTGTGTGGCCATCCAAAGAAATACTTCCCCACACCATGACTGACCCACCACCAAACTGGTCATGCTGGAGGATGTTGCAGGCAGCATAACGTTGTCCACAGTGTCTCCAGACTCTGTCACGTCTGTCACATATGCTCAGTGTCAACCTGCTTTCATCTGTGAAGAGCACAGGACGCCAATGGCAAATCTGCCAATTTTGGTGTTCCTAGCAAACACCAATCGTCCTGCATGGCATATGTGGATGCCGAGCCCTCATGGAGTCTGTTTCTGACAATATGAGTAGAAACACGCACATTAGTGGCCTGCTGGAGGTCATTTTGTAGGGCCCTGGCAGTGGACCTCCTGTTCCTCCTTGCACAAAGGACGAGGTAGTGGTCCTGCAGCTGGGTTATAGCCCTCCTACGGCCCCCTCCATGTCTCCTGGTATACTGGCCTGTCTCATGTCCATGCTCTGGACACTGTGCTGAGAGACACAGAAAATCTTCTTGCCACCGCTCACATTGCATTTATGTTTCATCTTGAATTAGCTGCACTACTTGAGCAAATTCAGTGGGCTGTAAAAAAATGCCTCATGATGCCTTTATGTGTGACAGCACTGACAAAATGAAAAAGTGACTAAAAGTTCAACCAGAAAGGACGAGAACAGAGAAATGACCTGTGGTTACCACATGCAGAATCACACTTTTATAGGGGTTTTCTTGCTAATTGCCTCTCACTCCACCTGTTGTGTGTTCCATTTGTACAGCAGCAGCTGAAACTAATTCACGGTAAGTGTTAATACCTAACTGGTGACATTGATTCCACAAAGGTGTGACTGATTTGGAGTTGCATTGTTTTGTTTAGGTGTTCCCTTTATTTTTTTGAGCAGTGTATATACAGTACACATATATATATATATATATATATATATATATATATATATATATATA